AATCAGTAGCATTCCTATATGCCAACAACAGTCAAACTGAGAACCAAATCAAAGACTCAATAACCTTCACAATAGCAACAAAGAAAGTAAAATACCTAGGAATATATTTAACTAAGGAAGTAAAAGACCTCTGCAGGGAGAACTAGGGAACACCGAGGAAGGAATTAGCAGAGGACGTGAAGAGGTGGAAAACCATACCATGTTCATGGGTTGGCAGAATCAACTTTGTTAAAATGTCTATACTACCCAAAGTGGTTTACAGATTCAATGTAATTCCTATTAAAATACCAACATCGTTTTTCACAGATCTAGAAAAAATAATTCTACAATTTGTATGAAACCAGAGAAGACCCCGTATAGCAAAAGCAATCTTAAGCAAAAAGAACAAATTGGGAGACATCGATTTACCAGACTTCAAGCTATACCACAAGGTCATAGTAACTAAAATAGCATAGTACTGGCACAAGAAAAGAGACATAGACCAATGAAACAGAACTGAGAACCCAGACATAAAACCATCCTCATATAGCCACCTAATCTTTGACAAAGCAGACAAAAACATACACTGGGGAAAAGAAGTGCTGGGAAAACTGGATAGCCACATGTAGAAGACTGAAAAAGGATCCACACCTTTCACCTCTCACAAAAATCAACTGATGGTGGATAGCAGACTTAAATCTAAGGTGTGAAACTATAAGAATTCTAGAAGAAAATTTTGGCAAAACTCTCGTAGACATTGGCCTAGGCAAAGAATTTATGAAGAAGGCCCCAAAGACAATCACAGCAACAACAAAAATAAATAAATGGGACCTGATCAAATTAAAAAGCTTCTGCACAGCCAAGGAAACTATCACGAGAGCAAACAGACAACCTACAGAATAAAAGAAAATATTCACATGTTATACATCTGACTAAGGGCTCATAACTAGAATCTATATAGAACTCAGGAAAATCAGCAAGAAAAAATCAAACAACCCTATCAAGAACTGGGCAAAGGACATGAACAGAAACTTTTCAAAAGAAGACAGACTAATGGCTATCAAATATATGAAAAGATGCTCAACATGTCTAATCATCAGGGAAATGCAAATCAAAACTATAATGTGATATCACTTATCCCCAGTGAGAGTGGCCTTTATCAAAAAGTCCCAAAACAATAAATGTTGGTGTGGATGCAGAGAGATAGGAATACTCATACACTGCTTGTGGGACTGCAAAGTAGTACAACCTCTGTGAAAAGCAATATGGAGATACCTCAAAGAGATACAGGTAGAACTACCATTCGATCTAGCAATCCCATTACTGGGCATCTACCCAAAGGAAAAAAAGACATTCTATAAAAAAGATATCTGCACTACAGTGTTTATAGCAGCACAATTCACAATTGCAAAGATGTGGAAACAACCCAAGTGTCCATCAATACATGAGTGGATTAATAAAATGTGGTATATGTATACCATGGAGTACTATTCAGCTTTAAGAAACAATGGTGATATAGCACCTCTTGTATACTCCTGGATAGAACTGGAACGCATTCTTTAATTTATTTTAAAATTGTTTTACAAATTTCAAAATATAAGTTTTGAACTTCTCTAGTTACATTTTTCCTAAGTATTTATTCTTTCAATACTATTACAAATGGAATTGTTTCCTTAATGTCTTTTTGTGGATTGTTCAATGGAAGTGGCATGGAAATGCAAATGATTTTCGTGTATTAATCTTGTACCCTGCAGCCTTGTTTAATTTCTTTATCACTTCTAATAGCTGCTTAGTGGATTCCTTAGGATTTTCCGTACACAAGATGAAGTCAGATGAAATTACTGTTTTAAAAATTCTTTACAAATATCAGTATAAAATTAGAATACACTTTTATAGGCCCAGTTTTTTGGGAAAGCAAAATATCCAAATACTTATTTTTCAAAATTGCCTGCAAGTTCCCATCATTTACTCTCCCACTCCTCTCAGCTCACCCTATCATTGTGCACACCCTGCACTCACTTGTGAGACCACTCGAGTTTCAGCCCAGAATGCATGGAGAAAACCTGCACCATTTTTTTCTGCTCCTGGGATATGGTGAGCAGGGAGCTGGATCTGGGTGTAGGCACTGAGATGAATAAGGCGCTCTGGATCTCCTTGGGGCTGGCATTCCTCAGAATCAGCTTATCATTCACAATGTACAGACTGGAGGAAAAAAAATAGGTCCTGAGACAACTTAAGAAATGGACAACTCTGTACCTCCAATGACTATACTACACCCACCGCCACTCAATAATCCAAAATTCCTTCCATACCCGACTGTGCCTGGCTTCCAGCTTCCTTAGCTGGTACCCTCTTCCACAGAGCCCACCTTTGGAGAGATTGTCTACAGCTTCACTATATTTATAGATTTAACCCCAATCCATTTACCTTGTACAATAGCCCAATGAATAGAACACCCTAACCCTCATTTTCAGAGGAAGACACTGAGTCACAGACAGGTCATGCCACTTGACCAATGTCATACAACGAGTGTTGGGGTCATGAAAATAATCCAGTATTCCACTACCAGAACCCACGTTCTTAACCATCAGGCTAGACTGTTCATTGGACTTACCTTTGGCTTTCCACAAACCCTGAAGACTACACCACCACATTCCCACACTACCGGCCCCTGGTGTTCCCACCCACAACACAGCACTTACGTGGCATCGCTGGCAGGGGTAGAGATGAAGATCCGGGTGAAGGCACGAAAACATCCCTGAAACCTTCCTTCCACTTCGAGAACAACAAACAACAATACACTATCAGACTTGCACGTGCTTTACGTGCTCACACAGCATTCTCCAGTCAGAGTCTTACTGATACTCATGCTGAAGCCGGACCAGAACAACTGCTCACTTGGAGTCAGGAGGGTGTGGCAGGAATGGGGAGGGCAAAAATAGGAAGAATCCACTTCCAGTGATAGGGCCCCTATCATGTGCAGGGACCTGTGAAAACCACTTCCCAAGTTCCCTTGATTCCTGTGTCACAGCAGCCCAAGAGATAGGTTATTATTAGCCCCACTTTGCAAGTGAGGGAATTGAAGGGTTAAGTGACCACTCCAAGTTTGCAGAGTAAGGACCCGGGATGAGAGCCATCAAGCTCCGCAGACTCTGTCCTTAACATCTGAACCATGTGGGGCAGACACGCATAGATCTAGGTCAGACGAGGATGGTTTGCGGGCGGAATGTGGGCCGGAGAACACGGAGGGAAGAATAGGAACAAAAGGAATGATATCAGGGAAGCTGGGAGAGTTCTGAGAGGAAGCCCGGTCAGGGCAGAGAGCAGTGTGGGACCTGGGAGGGGACTCTTCAGGCACTCACCTTCCTTGAATACCCCACTGACAGAAAAGCAGAGCATCCTTTCCTGAAAGGGAAGAGCCCAGGTGCTCAGGATCCTCCTTAACCTCCTACCTGCCTCCGGTTTTCTGGGCCTTCCCGAGGGAGGAAACGGGTGCTCACTGTTTGGAACCACACATCCACCAGGAAGGAGCTGAGGTCATGCTGAGTTTTGGGCAACACGCTGAGACAGTCCACGATGTCACGTTTTGTGTGCTTCAGCAGCAGCCTCCGCAGGACTGTGAGGGGAGAAGCAAAGATGGGGGGCTGCCACACCCTGGCCCTGGGCCCCTGTGAATGTCCCCTTCACCTCTCCTTACCCTGCCCAGTCTTCCCCATCACACACTCACAGGGGTCCTTGAGCATTTTCAGATTCCTGTTTTCTTTGAAGTACTCGCACAAGGTGCTCCTAGGAGAGCAAGAAGAACAGGAACTGCTGGTACAGCCAGTGTAGGTATTTCCAGGAGCTGACCTGTCTCTGTTGGGGAGCCACATGGCCCCGGAGCAGAGTCTGAGCTCTGATACCCACGAAGCTGGGTCCTTGGGGTTGCAGGGAATAGTCAGGGAGAAGCAGGCCTCCTCGTGGTAAGCATCCAGAAGACCCCGTCGGTCTCCATAGTCAAAGATCAAGTAATACCTGTGGGGGAGCAATGAGGGTAGGCTACCTCTGTAGTCTGGTTCCCAAATGAGATTTGAAATCTCCCATAAGCAGGCCTGTGCTTGGGTGGCCCAGCCCGTACCAGCTGTCCCTTTCCTTGTGGTCCCAGGGGTACTTACTGCTGCAGGAATTGCAGGATTAGACTCTTTAGTGTCTCAGATCCCTTATAGCTTTCCTGGAATCGAAAGATATTTTAGACTATGTAGATGATAAAAACATCCCTTTAAGCACCCCACATCTTGCTTGGTTCTTCTTCCTCACCTTGCAGGGTTTTATTAACTCAGGGACCTCAATGTCAACAATAATTGGTGGAGATAACTCTTGGCCATCCTGGAGAAGGGAAGAGGAAGTCAGCAGTGGAGACCAGGGAGGTGGCACTGCAGGACCAATGAGATGAACAGGCCCAGAGGGGAGCAAGAGTCAGAGGCCAATTGTGAAATAACTCTAGAGATTCCAGCGGGCATTTTCGATACAGGGTGCTGGAAGTCTCTACTATTATATGCCAACATCTCTCTCTCTCTCTCTCTCTCTCCCCACCTTTTTGGATATATTTTTCAGAGATAATATTCTTGCCTTTTTCAAGCATCCATGTGCTCTAAAATGGATGAGGGTGTGATGCAAACATGTAATCTAGGCAAGACTCAAAGGGCTTGAGGGCAGGTGTGGAGGTCATGTATGTCAGTAAGAGTAAGAGGAGACGATGATGACGGTAGGTACTTACCAGGCGTAACAATTTGGGGAAACAATCCCGGATGGCACTGTCCAAAACCAAAAACAAAATGAAGTGATTGACAGTTCAGGGTTGCATAATTAATCTCCATCTCTCTCTCTCTCTCTCTTTCTCCCCGCCCCCCACCTCTGGCTCTCCTCTCTCTTCTTCCTTCTGGACAGCCCCCACCTGGACTGCCCTGACTTCCTTCTCCAGTGCCACAAGAAGCAGCAAATTGAGCCAGGCTCCAGGGATTCCTTGCCCTCCCTGCTTCCCTTTTCTTCCTCCAGGTCCCCAGGGAAGGCTCCGCAGGGAGGAGGGAATGGGGTGGGAGCCCAGGGCTCTGCTACCTCACTGGGTGTCCACCATTCTGCTGGGTCTGTCTCTGGCTGACAGCAGCTCATCCCCCAGGGATGGCCCCAGATGCTGGAGCAGAAAGGCAAGCGAGTCCAGGCTCAGGAGGCAGGGAGGGGAAGGTGGGGGGATAGCAGGAAGGGGCATGAAGATCTGAGAGGGAGAGATGGGGAAGATGCAGGAGAGGAGAGGCCAAGGAGAAAGAGGAAGCAAAGCAGAAGGAAGGAAAAGATGCTCTCCCATGGCGGTGGGGGTCAGGGAGGAAGAGAGAAGGAAAGGGCTCCCCTGCGGCTGCCCTTTCCCTCACCTGCCCCTGGCTGGCCCTGGGCACTGAGGCAGGAATGGGAACCACACACCTGTTGGGAAGGCGCCTATTGGAAGCAGATGGGGCCTTTGTGACCTGGGTGAGCCCAGTCTGAGCTGGGCATAGGAAACAGAGCAGCCACGGGGGGAGAAGACCTTCCCCCAGGAGGAGTGAAGCATCAGGTTCCAGCTCAGAATGGAGTTAAGAGTCTGGGCTTCCCTCTCAAGATCACCACGTCCTTTCCTAATGGTCCGGGCCCAGCTGAGCTTGTCTGAGCTGGCGCCGTGCCCGAGGCGTCATTCCCATCTCGGGATACCCAGGGCTCCTCTGAAGGACCAGGCAGGATGGCGTGAGGTGTGGCGGGAGGGAGAGGCAGTAGCCCAAGAGGCCTGTCCTCTGTCTCCTCAACCTCCTCTGCCCTCTGCCTCCCACTCCTGCCTCGGGAAGCCCCCTGCTCACTGGCGGTGGCTCACTTCTGGTTCCTTGATGCAGGGAACCCAGGTTCCTCCCCAAGGAGGACCCAGCTCCTGCCACTGTGCCAGAGGAACGGATGTCATGACAGCAGCCACCCAGTGCCTCAGCCCTCAGCCCTCAGCATGGGGCAGGGAAGCCACCACGTCAGCCCACGACAGGTGGGCACACCTTTATGGAGCAAGGGAAGGAGGGCCACTCTCAGAAGAGGGAAGGGAAGGCCCATGTTAGCACACAGGGAGAAAGGCCTGGCTCAGCATGGGGTCCTGGGCTAGAAGTCCCTTCTCAGTCCAGGGCCCCAGCAACTGGCCCAAGGCTGAACATCCTGGTCCTGGTGAGGAGGGGAGCCCTGCTTCCTGGCACACACTCATGGAGGGCGTCCTGACTGCAGAGAGGTGGGAAACCCACCCCCAAGCAGGGCAAAAGGGGAGCAGGTCAGGGGAGGGAAGGAGACCTCTAAGCAGAGCTGAGGGACACAGACAGAGAGGAGAGGGCAGGGCCCGTGATCATCCCAGAGGACCAGGGCTGCCTTCTCCTGCAGAAGGGCACTGTCAGGGGCAGCTCAGCCTCCCAAGGGGCGAAGGGGTCCAGGAAGGATGACAGAGGTTACTACTGACCTTATGTAGGCGGAGTGGTCTGGAAAGGTGCTGCACAAGGGGTTCCCTTCTAGCCACAGCTCTTCCAGCTTTAGCCCTTTGATCTTGTCCAACTCCGACACTGACGTCAGCTGAGAAGTATGAGGGGAAAACTGGAAAGGTAGTCTCAGGGAAAGAGACGTATAGGACACTGGACTCCTCAGTCCCCTCCCTCATCCACAGGTACCTCTGCCTGCCTGTTGTCATCACCCCCATGTGCACTACCACCCACCCTCCACCCAAATTTGTCCTGGTTCCCCCATCTCACCTCATTTTTGGACAGGTTCAGGATCTTGACTTTGGGGGCCTTCTCTATAATGTCAGACAGGCCATCCAGCCGGTACAGTTTGTTGTTGCGCAAGTTCAAGGACAATAACTTTTGGGGAAGAAGAGTTAATTAGAGTGACAGTTACTCTCTAGGGCCTCGGAGACAAACCTGGCCTGAACCCAGCCTCTTCCAGCCCTCTGCCTAAGGCCTCACCTCAGGGAAATCTCTCTCAATGATCTGCAGGGTGGCAGCCATGCAGTTTCTTCGATTCAGGACTATGTCCACATCACGCCCCACCAAGTCTTCATAAAAGGAAATCAGAAGGCTGAGAGGGGTTGGCCTGGACCAGCGCCAGCACCAACCCCTCCCCAAGTTGCCATCCCTGAGTCTCCCTCCCAGGAAGACCCCTCCATCCTCACGTGCCCTAGAATCACTGCCAACAGCCATACCTGTGTCAAAGCGGAGCTTCTGGAGGTCAAGAGCTTTCTGGGAGACATCATATCGTTTGTTCATGGTCAGCTGCAGAGACAGAGGTGGAGAGTGGCTCTGAGGCTGTGCTGGTAGGGGTGATGGGGAAATTGGGGCCCGGGGCGAGAAGAGGTGAGTCCGGGAATTGGGCATACAACGTGCCGAGAGTCTGCATTACCTTTAGCTGCTCCACTTGTTCTGGCTTCAACTTATTTTGCACAGAGTAGGGTACAGCAGAAGGACTGACAAAGATAGATACCTGCAGGAAGGAGAGGCAGGGTAAGCTCCAGGACCTCTAATCCCACAGAAGATGAACAGCCCTTGGCCTGTCCTCCTGCCCTGAGACTAGGTACAGGGAATTGCCCCGGACACATACCTTTCGGTTCTGCTCATCGCAAATCTTGTAGCTGACATCCCTCAATGCGGAGGCAGTACCGGCATCCTGGACAAAGAACTGGGCCCTGTTTTTGAAGTAGTGGAACTACGGGGAGTGAAGGCCAGAGCAACAGTGTCAGAGGCCAACAGTCCCTGCTGAGCTAGGCCTCTCCCCCTCCCCTGTGCCCACCCAACTGGCTTCACCATCCTCTCTTACATCGACCGCGGTGAAGGGGACACTGCAATGGCTCTGGATTGAATTCAGGAGCCACGTCCTGTCATACTTTATCCCGTAAGGAATCTACGGGTGAAAAGAAGAAAATAGGAGAGAAGAGAGACACCACGGAATTAAGCCTGGAGAACACGCCCAGCCAGCAGTTCTCTTCCAACAATCTACCTAGCTTTAATGGGCTTCTAAAGGAGGTACTGCTGACAGGATTTCTTATTTTTGTGCCAAACATGGATTCCCTAAGCCCCTTACTCTCCATGCAGAAGCCCTCCTCCAAATAATCAACTTGAGGTGTTTAATGTGATCTTCCTTCTGGAAGGTTCCAGAATATTGTACCTAATGCAGACCTTGCCAAGACACTCACTGTGATCATGAACCAGTTCCCCATGGTTCTGCCTTGTGTGTTCTCCCCCACTTCTCTCCCTGGAGGTATTCTATGTCTCCATGTAGTGAGATGGGTTTGGTCTTCATAATGCCAATTCACTCTCCTCCTTTTGCGTTGGATGGTATAAGGAGCGCTGTGGGGATGGGGAGAGGAGGAGGGGACCATGAATGCTAAGGAAGTCTTTCATACACCCTCCCCTCATGGACACCAGGGCTACAGTTAGGATTGCTCATCCATCATTCCACTTCTATCATCCTTCACTTTTTCAGTCAGAAAAGTAAGAGAGGACCACAGAGAGCGAATGAGTTGCACTGCCCCAGGGGCTACTACGTGCAAACTAGGCTGCCTGATCACTTACTGTCTTACTTGGGGGTCCTTGTGGAAATACCTCATCTCCATGTCTCCATCACCTTCCTTGCGGTGGGAATGCGGACTCTCATATCCTCCATGTTCATAATGAAGGTTCCTTTTGCCAAAATTACCCTGGAAATAACTCCCACCTTTCCTTCTTCCTTGAGAATAGCAACCGCCATCACTGTGTTCTAAAATTAGGAATAAGAATTAAAGTTTGAAGACACATCAGTGGTACAGCTAACGAGTACTACATCTTAAGCTAACCTCATGGTAGGGCAAGCAAAGCACCAACCTGCCCCAAGGGACCAATCACACAAACCCCGAAAGCAAACTCCTCTGCCTGCCTGTCTGGACAAGAGAGCCTTATCTCATAGGTGGCACAATCACGGAAGAAATCTTGGAAGAGGAAGCAACTGTGTTGAACCTTTTTAAAAATGGAGCAGGTTTTACAAAGAACAGAGGTGTGTGCGTCCATGGGTCAGACTAGACACCAGCCACACACCAGGAAGTTGTCTCAACCTTGCCTCCTCTCAGGCTTCTCTAATCTAACAATGACTTCAATTCCTGGGAGGCAATCTCTCTCACACCTCCCACATCCAATCAGCCACCAAACCGACTCTGTGAACAATCAGCAAGCTGCACTTCCTTTGCCGGTGCAGTACAAGCTCTAATGACACGCGGGACTGATGTGACGGCTTCCTAAACTGTCGACCTGCCTCCAGTCTTGGCCCCAGCAATGCTGGTTTGAAATATCTGAGAGAGAGCTTTCTTTTTGCCCAGCTTGAAATGCTTTCAGTCCAGGAGACAAGGCCTCCTAAACTCAGCTCTTCTATAACAAGAATCTGAATGACAAACTGGAGTAACAAGCATCGACTACAATTTCCATATGTTTGGAGATTTCCCTGTTATCTTTCTACTTTTATTCTATTAGGATCAGAGAACACACTTTGTGTGACTTCAGTTCTTTTAGATTTGTTGAAGTCTGTTTGATGGCCCAGAAGATGGTCTACTTTTGTGAATGCTACAAGATGCTTGGAACGGGGAAGAAGTGTATTCTGCTATTGTTGGGTGGAGCATTCTATTTGTATCATTTAGATCCTATTATTGTATTGATTATATTATTCAGATCTTTTGGATCCTTGCTGGCTTTCTGTCTAATAATTCTATCACTTTCTGAGAGGAGGGGGTTGAAGGCCCCAGCCACAACTATGGATTTAGTTGTTTCTCCACTCAGCTCCATTGGTGTTTGCTTCCTGTACTTTGAGGCTCTGTTGCTTGGTGTGTTCCCACTTAGGATAATTATGTCTTCCTGGTGGATTGATTCTTTCATCGTTATGTAAGGCCCCTCTTTGTCTCTCATTAATTTTATTTCCTTAGACATCTAGTTTATTGGATAATGTAGCCTTGGGTATGCCTATGAAGTGTTTCAGTTATATATCACCCTGTATTCACTCTTAGGAATGGCGTGGCTGTTTGCCCCTCCCCAGCCCTGACTATCCACAAACATATCAAATTCACTATGTGGCAAGATTTGAAACATTTTTTTTTTCATCTACAGAAGTAAGATAGTCTTTATTCTCTCTCCCACAGGTAGCTTCACTAAGGATATTTTATTTTTACCATGGGCAACTGAAACAATATATCAGCAGACAGTAATTCTCCTGGGGTTTTCCTGGGGGGTTGGTGGGGTATGGGGATTAAGGCAATTAGACCGTTAGAAACCAGTGTCCTCTTGGGCTCTAACATTTAAGATTCTCTAGGTCTCTGTGTTATACATTTCATACACTAATTACTACACGTTCTCTCAGGGCACACTTACGAATAAAAATTCATTCACTGCTGATCTTTCCAGGATGTACTGATCATGGCCAGGCCTCAGATTAATACTTCTGGTGGGGTGAGGGGGTCATTACTTTCAATGTATGATCCACTGTCAGGACAGTCCTACTACTCACAACTTTTCGGACTTTCCCTGTGTGGCACTGAACGTGAAATTAAGTGAGGGTAGAGAATTTGACCTAGACATTCCACGTGCTTGGTCCCAAAAACTTGGAGGTGGCCTGGAGTGCTCTCTTTCTCTCACACTCCACATCCAACTGGTCAGGATGAATACACCTTCTCTTGACTCTACCTTTAAAATATATCCAGAGTATGGCCACTTCTCACCCCCTCCCTTGCTACCACCCTGGCCAGGTGACCAACATCGATCTTCTGGATTATGTTGCCTTCCAACTCTTCCCTCTGCTTTTACACTTGCTCCCTTACCATCTATTTTCAACACAGCAGGCAGAGTGATGTTTCAGAGCTTAAGTCACGTCTTGTCATTCCTCTGCTCAAAATCCTCCAATAGGGGTTTGGAGCCCATCAATATGTTACAAAGCCATGAGTCCATAAGATACTCAAAAACAACAACAAAAAGATCCTCACTGGTGTCATTTGGAAGACACCAGGGAACCAACTCATTTTCACAAAAGCTCATAAATGAAAGAAAAAAACAAATACCGAAGTGAGGGTTAAGGGTGCATGGTCAATGTATGGTGTACAGAAAGAGTCAGGATCATGTTTGAGAACCGACATTACTTTGGAAACCACTGAGAGGAAAGCATAAAAGGGAGCTAGCTAACAGCTACAGCTACAATCTTGGCCAAAGTCTTGCATTGAGAACCCCACAGGAGAGCCCGCATGTGATAAAAAGCCACAGAGGGGCCCAACTGACAGAGACACTGAGGACAAAACACACAGGCGCACATCCACTTACTGAACTCCTGCATCTCAGCACAATCCAGTCTCGAAGTTCTGCTGCCAGAATCAAAGGCATTAACAGGAGAATTATAAAGCCACTAGTGCTTCTCATTCAGACGGCCTGGGTCCTCCCTCAGGCTCCACCATGTCCTGACTGATCCTCCCTCACAGACATGGTAGTGAGTATCCTTTATGACATCATGTGTGCTCCTGCTGGTACTTCCTGTGTTATTTGGAATTTTGCCTACATCATTGCCATGCCACTGAGTACATGGAAACAGCATCCCTGCTGTCGTAGGGAAAGAATGGAGTGAGAAGGAAACTGACACTTGCCCAGTGGCAACCGACAGTTTGCTCAGTTGTGGGCAAGCTCACTAGGTTTCTTTTGACCTCCTCACAGAAATCCCATGAGAATTGTATCCACAGTCCCTTTTCAGATCATGACTATTAGGCTCACAGACATTAGATACATTTCCCGGGATTTTTTTAGCCAAGTATGTGGCAGAACAGGAATTGTGTCCTTGTCTGTTGGTCTGTGCTCACACCCTGAGTGCTCCTCCAGAAACTGCACTGGTTTGCTCTTAAGGGTGAGCTTTTAGGTTTCTGTGAGCAGGCCAGCAATTTCTGTGAGCAGGCCCACAATGATGTTTTGTGCTAGTCACTCCTGTTGGGGTGGGAACCAGGTGTCTTGGACCAGGTGGGAGAAATCTCTTTGGGTCATGGGGTTTGCAGATTAGAAGTCACTTTGGGCTGGCAGTGTCTGGCAGAGAATGGGGGTGGGTAATGATAATATATGTTGAAATACAGCATGTGACAAAGACTTGGGATCATCAACAAAACCACTTTGAGAATACATCCATCTCAACCATTTCTACCTAAATCTATTTACTGATTCCAGACATATTTGGGCTGCAGAACTATTTCATAACCTTCTTGTAAAACCAGCACAAACTGTGTTTTTCTTTTGCAAAATTAATATTTTTTCATCAGTATTTTTAGAAATAGAACTAAGTAACACCCTGTAGACTAATGCTAAAACTGCAGCTTTGGTGATCTCAGAGAAGGGGCTCTTTGCTAACGGTGGTCACAGAAATGAGGAGAGGCTTCCCCTGAATCCAGCAGACAGAGCTTTCTGGACATCTGGAATGTGTAGAAAGGAGGATGTTCTGGACCTGCAGGCACATCTGTGGTCACTCAGTCTTGTAACAGACAGGAAGTACCAGCTGTCTCAGAGAAAGGGGTGAGTATGTGTGTCTATGTATGCGCACCCGTGCCTAAACTCAGGCACATGTGTGCGTGGGCATATATTCACATTTTGTATTATATGCTTTTATAATTAGGTTGCAGCTTCATGTATTCCAAATCATGATGATAAATACACTGCCACACAACACCGGATCCCATTGCACATTTCTTTTCATGTGTTATGCATTACATATGGCCAAATTTTGTTTCTAGTTTTGTTTTTTTTGAGACAGAGTCTCACTCTCTTGTCTGGGATAGAGTGCTGTGGCATCAGCCTAGCTCACAGCAACCTCAAACTCCTGGGCTCGAGTGATCCTCCTGTCCCAGCCTCCCGGGTAGCTGGGACTACAGGCATGTGCCACCGCGCCAGACTAATTTTTTCTATTTTTAGTTGTTTGGTTAATTTCTTTCTATTTATAGTAGAGATAGGGTCTCGCTCTTGCTCAGGCTGGTCTCGAACTCCTGAGCTCAAGCAATCCTCCTGCCTCGGCCTCCCAGAGTGCTAGGATTACAGGTGTGAGCCACCACGCCCGGCCTGTTTCTAGTTTTGAATATGTTTTCTAGTGCTCTTTTTTCCCTTTACACCTTGGTGTTTTAATATTTGACTTGATTGTTTGAAATTAAGAAAGTAATAGAGTTATCTGTACAAAAACATAATGGAACAATACCCATGGGTTGGCCAGGATTATAGAAAATCCCCAGGGGTGGAGCCTAAAGGACCCAGTGGAGCACAGCTTGGGCTTCAGAGTGGGCCTGAGATTTTGAGTCCCTGCTATACAGTTTCCCAGGAAAAGCACATGAGTATTTTCAAACATCAGAGACATTTTCCTAAGGATACCTAATGACATTTACTCCAATGTACATTTCCACTGTCCGTGTGTGAGTTTAATTTCCTGCAATGTGCTTAACTATTCAAAAGTCATTCTTACACTTTGACCCAGACATTTCACTTTTTGAATTTGTCACACAAAATATTCTCTGTCTAAATGTATATATATAATTATATGGCTGTACATTACAGGCTCTCTGGGATAGAAGGACAATGGGAACAGAAGCTGGCTGATATTCTCAGGAGAGGGGTAGAAATGATTGTCCTTGGAATCAGGTACAGATGGAAAAGAAGGGGCATGAGTACCTGATACATAAAGAGGCCAAGGGATGGGTGTATG